TTGGTGTTAGAATATGTGTGCATCTTCCTGGGGATTAGGCAGGGTTTTTTCTTCTATTGAGTTGTTAACGACTGGCTGCTGGGGGCTTCAACCTTCCTCACCAGCAACCATTATGATACCATTATATGGGCATTACAACCTCACTCTACCAAAAATATAAACTTCATCCTTCCTTTTTATTTTATTTGTGCCTTTGAGTTACTGTTGACTTCTGGTGACTGCCTGGACAAGTCCCTGCAGTTTTCTTAGCAAGGTTTTTTCAGAAGTGGTTAGCCATTGCTTTGTTCCTAGGGCTGAGAGAGAGTGATCGATCCAAGGTCACCCAGCTGGCTATGTACCTAAGGTGGGACTAGAACTCACAGTCTCCTCGTTTCTAGCCTGGTGTCTTAACCACTACACCAAACTGGCTCTCTCATGTTAATATGTCTGCTATTTATTTGTTTTTATTATGCTGCACATAAGTCTTAACTTTTATCTTAAGTAGTTTTGTTTTTTAAAAAAAGGAATAGGGACTTAAAGTTCTGATTACATTTAAGGGACCTTTTTCCAAGTTTTATTTTCTAAATTGTACCTTTTTTTATACAGTAAATAAATAATAGATTTTTTAAAATTAATATTACATAATACCACTAAGATACCAAATGTTTTTTTTGTGGCATCAACATTTGGGCACACCTAGCAAAAATAAAAGCCCTGCAAACCCAATACATTTTAAATGTAACTTAACCTTAAGCATTTTGTAATACTTGTACTATGTCACTCTACATCAGGTTCATTCTGACTACTTGAAAAGATGAATGTAAGTAACAGATTTCTCTCTACCACATATTAATTTACAAAAATGAAGGTTATTCTGAAAGCTATGACAATGACATTCTGCCACACATTCAAACTCTCAATACTGTCTGTCATTCTCAGTATTTAGAGCAAAAGACAAAGAGCTTCTTTAGGGGAGGAGGGTATTCAGAAAATCCCAGATTCAAAATAACTGCACAGATTGCTATACATTTTAGTTCTTAGTTTACCTTTTAATTCCTATTCCAGTGGCTGTATTTCATTTTAAAATTAAGTCTACTTAGCCAATCATCTTTTCAAATTGAAATGTTTTGCTGTGCTTTATTATTTACCTAACCTAAACCCATCAACAACACTGGAACATTCTGTTATCCAATTTAGACTTCTTTTAAAAGTATAATAAAAGAAATTGGCACATACCACAGATCTTCAGTGGTGCCTCTAGCTCCAAGAGAATGGGCTGACTAAGAAAAATTTCTCGTGATTTTATACACAAACCCCGAACTTCAGCTTCTGTCATCTGCACGATCTTTCCAGGGCGACATCCTCGCACTGCAAGTCAAATAACTGAAGGTTAAAATTCTGAATCTCTTATAATATCAAGGAAAAATAAATCAATACCCCCTGCTTAATAAGGTAGTATTGGCTCCCACGTTCCCTCCTCTTCCACAGATATATGAATGTATGGATAATAAATGAGTTTTTTAAGCTTGTTCAGAAACCATACCATCCCTTAAAGTTTCTTTAATTTATCTTAATCAAGATTCTTTGGGTCTGCGACTACTGCAGTCACTGTGTTAATTCTTCTTCTGTATTGCTATAAATAGCGATATTTCCACTTGATCAAGGTGTTTGGGGGGAATGCTAACAGAGTTAGTACCCAGAAAGCTGCCAAAATGCATAATTTTCTCCTTAGAGTTACAGGGAGGTACCCAAAAAGGTTTGTTCAATTTCTGAAAGAAAAGCTTCTTATCTCTTTAAGGCTTTGACATTTGTCATGCTTTCATAATAAAATTAAGAGGCTTCCCACAAATAAAAATGGGGAAAGGAATACTTGACATAGTTTCAGATTTCACAACTGAAACTTGAAAAAAATCCCATTTTGTGAATCAGATACAATCCCTATGACCCACAGATGTTAATCTAGTTCCAGCACCCCAAGCCATTGTGGTAAAACACTGATTTACTGGACTCGAGGAAACATAATCCTGTAGAAATCATCACACTATTTTTAAACCAAGATTCCCCCCCAAAATGTTGTTTTTAATTTTATTAAACAATAATTTCTGTTTATTTTTTTATGTCCTGGCTTCAAAATCAACTATTATTCTCCTAAGCATGTGCCTTTTCCTTTTCATCAAACAGTGGGGAGCCAGCCTCTCACACAATTAGGTAGACCTAACAGTGGAGATGTCATTGTGACCCATAAACCTGAATGCAATGCAACTTTCTTTCTTATAATTAAATATTGACCTTACTTAATGCAAAAGGGATTTTAAAAAGACTAAATCCTCCCCTCCTGCTCCCAAATAAATCCACTTCAGTTTTTTCTGACCAAAGCTACCTTTTGTTTTTTGTTTTAATTAGACCACAGAAAACCAAACAGAAGGAGTTCCCTCCTCTCCCTACTTCTTCTGGTATGGAAAAAGGGGAAGAGGAATCAAAGCAAATCCCATAAAATTAGTGTATTAATTGCAAGCCATGGGAAAAAATACGAACACCAGTAGTTTTCCTAGGAGAATGGTCTACCTAAAGCAGCAAACTGCATGCGAAATAAATGCTAGTATTAATGACAAACCATATCAATGTTGATACAATGGCTCTACTATACAAATAAAAATCTAAACTAAATAGCTAATATATTCTAGATTAAAATGACATATATCTGAAACCCCATTTCTGCTACTACCCAGTCTCTGAACACAATAAGTCTTATGCAAAATGGCTGATGGAATAGGATCCAGAGTGTTTTCTATTCTGGAACTCATACCCTTCTCTGCTTCACATTAAATACTTACACAATTTATTTTTCTTTTAACCGTGCCAATTTGCAACCTGGAAAATTGCTTTTAGTTTTGTTTTGTTTTGTTTTGAAACCCAGAATGCCTCAGAGCAGGCACTTATGAGAGCATCCAAGGTATATCAAAAATTTCAAATATAGCTATTGCCCTGTGGGAGTTTGAGCTAATCTAAAAGTGATTTGCTTTTGTTCTCTTCACTCATTTCATTTTTTGAAAGCCAGTTCTCAGATGTCATAAGCAAACAGCCTAATACCAGATCAGTCCACTATCAAAACAAAAGGAAAAACAAGAGACAGGTGGAAACCATCCCTCCTGCCCCTACCCCCGGCTTCTAAACTGTTACACAGTGTGGATAGGAGAAACAGACACAAGAACATTGATTTCACTATAAACAGGACTTGCATTTATACATAGCAATCACTCGAATTCTTTCAAAATAGCATCTTTAGCTTTTCTACAATAAATGTACTTATTAGTTCTTATATCCCTGGGTAATTTGTTTCCATTCCAAGTTGCCAAGAGAAGATTAACATCTTGTAAGAATGAAAAGTTTAATCACAAAATGTACTGCCACCAAATTTTATTCCAAAGGAAGAAATATTTTAGAAGATAGAAGAAAAATTATTTTCCAGTTTGTGAAAGATCAAAGACACATTAAATTAAGCAAGCTTGATTTTCTAGCTCTTAAAAAAAAAATTGAGGGGAAATTGCATATTTTATATTTTAACACCAATTCAAACCTGTGAACATACATATTTTTAAAAGAAATAAATTATGTACAGAAGATGTATGTTTCATTGCCACTAATGCAATAACTGATTTTAGAGTTAAAAAGCATACCTTAAGAACATTCGAAACACTATGACCAAGCATTCTCTTTCACTAGCTATTCCCTTTTACAAGAACAGTACATGGTTATAAGAGAGATCCCCCCGCCCATCTTCTGGTGGCCACAGATATATTAAACAGTAATGAAATGTTTTTGCAGATTGTCACATATGAAATTTGACCTTGATAAATCATCAACAAACAAAAGTTAGGAACTAAATGCCTAGGAAGTCAAATATGATAGCAGAATTAAGGGACTCCACACTTCTCTCTGAAACAGACATTGTCAGATGAAATGTTACTACTGTAGCAGTGCAAAATTTTCAGAAAATTTTGCATTGGAATATTCAGTTTACTTGTATTAGCATGTTGGATATAATCAGTAAATACCTTCTTTACAAAATGCACCATAATATTTTTATTAGCTGGGAAAGTATCTCAAGAATGTATTTTTAGATATTGAATGTTTTCCATAGAAAACTAGAGAAGCAGAATCTGCCACGGTATTCTTTAATAACTAATAGCCAACAAAGAACATTTGGATACCTATGTGACTGATAATGCTTCAGTTGGCTAAATAACCCCAGAATTAAACAAACCATTCCATACTTATTTTTATATATCTTAGATTTCTACCCTGACTTCCCTCCCAGAGCTTAAGGCAGCTTACACGGGGTCTCATTTAGTTTATGCTTTATTCATTTTCAACAGCAACTCCGTGAAATAGGCTTAATAGGGCTAGGAGAAAGTGACTGGCCCAAAATTATCAGTTTAGTTTCATGGTTAAGGGTGGATCTGAATCTGGATCTGCCTGATCCTAGTCAAACATACCATGCTAGCTCTATACTGTATCTTACCACGAAAGTAAATGGGAGTTATCCCTCAAACATAAGCCACCTGCTTTGAAGTTTAAAATCTAATTACAAAAAAAACAAAAGCAAAAACAAGAAAGGCTTCAACATCATTGTTCAACCTCCTGGAAAAAAAATCTTTAAAATATTTCTACAGTACTCTGGAATCCAATTGGATTAAGAGGAGTATACAGAAATAATTGTACTCATACAAAATGTTAGAAAAATAAACATCAAGCTTTAAGGGTCTTAAAATGCAGGTAGGCTAAAACGAACCCTTGTGAAATTATTTATAAAGGCATCATATGGCTATCAGAAATCAACCTGACTGAGTTTAACAGGACTTACTCTCATGTTAGTTTTATAGGACTGCAGCCTTGACCTTCATCAAAATAAATTTTGCAGTAGTCAATAGAAAAATCATCTTATTTATACAATAGTCAAAATAAACAAAACTTATACTCAAGTATCCGTTTTATTTCTGTGAACTATCATTACTTGGTATCACCAACTCATACAACCCCTTCCAATCTATTTATGAGAAAGTACTTCAGCAAAAGCTGTCACTTTTTAATGCACTACTATAGAAGTCTCACAATATAGTTCTTGTTGTTAAACTGTATCTTAGCCCTTTCCCTAAACAGCTGTACTGATGAGGCTACTTTTTATTGCCATTCATAATGGCAGATTAATATAAGGGTTAATTCTCTTCTTTTACATACAGCACAAAGACTAATCTTTGAATCTGAGCTACCAGCTATAGAACAAAAATGAAAATAAGCCAAAGATCTGTTTTATAAACAACATTCTGTCACTAGTCCTAAAATAAAAACCTGAAATATCTCCAAAGTTAATATATTCTGAAGTAGGAGCAAAGGGAATAAATAAATAAATAAATAAATAAATAAAACGACAATGCGGGGTTAAAAAGGATAGCATTTATATTAGAAGCTTAAAAAATTAAATTTCAGGGAAACAAAAGATTTCCATAATAACAAACTTCAAGGCAAGTTCTGATGTATAATTCCACAAACTGGATTCTAGCTGTCAATAGGGTTAAAAAACATTGTGAGGGGAGGGGAGGGGAGGGGAGGGGAGGGGAGGGGAGGGGAGGGGAGGGGAGGGGAGGGGAGGGGAGGGGAGGGGAGGGGAGGGGAGGGGAGGGGAGGGGAGGGGAGGGGAGGGGAGGGGAGGGGAGGGGAGGGGAGGGGAGGGGAGGGGAGGGGAGGGGAGGGGAGGGGAGGGGAGGGGAGGGGAGGGGAGGGGAGGGGAGGGGAGGGGAGGGGAGGGGAGGGGAGGGGAGGGGAGGGGAGGGGAGGGGAGGAGAGGGAAAACCTTGGGGTGAGAAGTTTGGCTTTTGAGATGAAATACATCATTATTGTTTTTGCTGTTCATTGAAGATAATTTCTTAAAAGTTTTAGTATGATTTAAAATTTTGCTTGGTGATGGTGCTTCTCCTAGCATGATAAAAATATCCCCCAAACATCCATGATTAACTAGAGTTAACTCCTCTCCTAATAATTTTACAACAATGTATCTGCTTTAACATTATTTGAAATATTGCCTGACAAAAATTAATCTGAATTTTTTTTTTTTTTGTCTGCGCTCAGTCATTGCTGACCCTGCAGTGACTGCTTGGACGAGTACTTGCAGTTTTCAAAGCAATTGTTTTTCGGAAGTGGTTTGCCTAACATTGAGAAGTAGAACATGCATTACTGAAAATAACATCCAACAATGTATATTCTTTTACTGAAAGGATGATTAAACAGAATCTTTTGAACAGAAATTTTAATCATTAAAATTGAGTCTTCTTTAGATAACTTTTTTAAAATTATAAATTGTATTTAATGCT